CTTGGTATAAGGGCAATAATTGCAATATTTTTTCCAAGCAATGACATGAGTGCTAACCCTGCAATCATACCATGATCTCATTTTAGATGATAAGCATATATGCTAATAATTTCACAAAGCACCTCACAAAGAAAATTCTTGCTATTAGAGAATGTACCTTTCATTTGTGGGAAATAATTACTTTAATACCTATTTTTGTCCAACTAATTTTATAAGCTTGTGTGTTAGTTGAAGTTATTTTGGTGCCTTGACAACTTTGTTGGAAATAATATTTTTGGTACAACTACTATCTACAATCAACTCACATATTTTTCCTTCAATGATACATTGAGTTTTGAAGATGGCATGTCTTTATGACACCTTAGTTATTTGGGAGCCAATAAAATTTTCTACAAGATACATGATAAAAAACTCTACCAGTCATGTTGAACACCTTCTATTTCCTCATGCGTTGAAGGTGGTTATGTTTTAAATCTTCTTTAGTGTCTCCAATAAGTATGTGTAATTGACGTATATTTAAGTATTAATTGGATTGATCACTTGGCTAGAAGCATTTGATACATTTAATGGGATCAGACTGACACACATATTATCTCATGTTTTTCTTTGTTTTGGAGGTCTTTTTGCATAAGACAAATGATGCTCGTTATGAGGCAGGTCAATCAATCATGCAAGTATACGTGTCGATTAAGTAATATATAGATAAAGAGTTCGCGTATCGATATCACGAGGAAATTTGTCAAAATATTTCTAATAGTATATGTTCTAGTTCACTAAACCTTTGAATCAAATTTGAAATATTAAAAGTTTCACAATCCTAAAATACAAAAAAAACTAAACTAAAGGTTTGTTTGGGGCAACTGCAGCTTGTTCAGCTTATTCAAATAAGCTGCTTATCCTGATAAGCTGCTGATCATCAACTCATTCAAATAAACTGACTGGTTGTTTGGTTTCTGCATTTGAAAAACAGCTGATTTGCATCCGTTTCTGGATAAATGACCATTTTGCCTCTGATCTAAATAAGTTGCCTAGCTGTTTGTTTTGTGCGTTTGGAAAATAACAGTTTTGTATCCATTTCTGGATAAATGACCATTCTGTCACTAAATAAATAAGAATTTTAATGAGAATAACAAGTCTCTTGCATAATCAAATTAAATAAATTTGTAATCGAATTTCATATATTATCCAACCTCAATCAATTAATGTGCTTGTTCAAGAATCTTAAAAAAAAATTTCACGGTCATAAACAAAATTAACATAAAGGAATTTGCTCTTTTCATTTATCAGTCACATATTCATAAAACTAGTCATCCTTTTTTAATTTTCAATTAAACGATCATAAATGAGCTATAATCAAGTCCAATCACTAGTAGCTTATCAAGAACATCGATTCATTCGCAGTTCTTGCCGTGAAAGGGATTTCATAAATGACAAGACAAATATCTAAGCTAGCAGATATGCTTCAACTCATCAAAAGAAAAAAAAAGAGGTATATTAGCAATTTACATTCCTCAAGACATTCCCAACATATATGCCCCCACAATAATTCCATAATAATCTGCATATTCCATAGTAATTTTGGATTGGGAGGCTCACTCATCGAAACCCACAAGGAAAGAAACGATGTCCCCAGTCGTTGCCAAATGGGGGAGTAGGGAGGAGCGGCTAGGGCAACGAGTAAATTGGAGCGGAAGATGGAGCTTGGCATAGCTAGGGCAAGACGTGAACTGGAGTGGAAGAGGGAGGTCGGCGTAGCTAGGGCAGGACGTGATCGAATGGAGCGCGAAAGGACTTCAGCGTAGCTAGGGTAGGACACGATCGAAAGGAGCGATGCTAAGGCAGGACTCGATCGAATGGAGTGAGGGCTGAGATGGGATACAATTTCATCGAAGGCAGCCCACAACTATCATCCCGCGGGCCGTGTTGTTAAGAAATTAAAACACGTAGGATTTTCATTAGCTGCTGAAACACATTTTCCAAATGGCGTAGCGACATTTTCAAAATGCCGCCCACACTTATATGCTGCCCCAAACGGGCCCCAAATTTTGTTCATGTTTTTTAGATATGAAATGTTCCTACTCCCGTGACACCACTTTAGTGATTTCTCGATGATTTTTGTATGAAATCCCACGTTATTGTTGACAACTAGGGACATATTTCATTTAGGCTATGTCTAGGTCTTAAGAAGTATTGAAAACCATATTACAATTAAGGGGGCTTAACCATGCAACGTTTTTTACAAATTCTCTTTCCCCTTATCTAGGCTGTAACTTTCTAATGACAATATGTCTATTCCACTAGACCATTGTGTTTTAACCTACATATTCTTTTAAGAGATAATTAAAAATCATAGATCCCAAGGAATTTTAATGTTTTATCGTGTCAGATTTGAAGTAAATTAAGACCAAAGAGGTAATACAACAACGTATGAAATCCAAACACAAAATATGTCTGCAGAATGAAATCGACAGGACAAAATAACAAGAAAATCATGACTTACATAAAAAAAAAATGAAAATAAGATTAATTACGGTGCATTAAAAAGGGAAGCACGAAAATTATTAGTGCACTCATAAAAAAAAAAAAACAATGCAATAAGTTTAAAAAACTCAAATCGATATCAATTGGTCATTGCAATGCACCATGATCCTTTCCGTTTACAAGCTTTCTATAGATCTTCCTCATACAAGGACACTCAATCTCTCCTCATAACCTCTCCAACTCTCAACAGAAAATATACTCTGTAAAGAGCTAGAAAAAACCAGCCTCAAATGTCCCATAACTGCCCTAATTAATCTATAACTTTCTCTTATGTAGTTCTTGCCAAAATTGCCTTGAAAAAACTTGCCAATTTATGCCTGGCATAGCTACGACCGTGCTTGACGTAACTATGCCGCTGGTTGGCGTAACTATGCCAAAGTTTGGTGTAATTATGCCTGATAAGAATAAGGGTAGCATAATTACATTGCAGTGTGGCACAACTACGTCACTTCAAACTTCTTGCCCGCTTCGTGTTTTGGTTCCACAACGCATCGTCAACCCCTATAACTTGTAAAATACCATCAAGAAACATTCAACAAGCGTAAATCATAATAAATAGGGAAGAAAACATTGTATTTAGAGAAGAAAAATTACGAAATTTATCTCGCATCAACAAATCCATCTAATTCAATCAAATTCAATTCAAACCAACTCAAATTCAATCCTTTTAGTCCATACTAAAACTAATGACCTTATAATGGAGTTTGATCCCATCTAAACTCATCTAAAGGCTTGGTCAAACATAACCACTATTGGTCTGGAATGGTCATTTGAGCCAAATCTAAAATTGTTCATCAAGAGTATGGTCAAATTAGTCCCATGTCTTCCTTGGAATATATTGAAGTTTTTTTGACCAAAATTCAATCAAATTTAAATCCAATTGAACGAGTTTGGGCTTTTAAGGTCCTTGGACTTAGTTGTCGCAATTGGGTCATTATGGCTCAAATCACTCAAAATCCAATCAAACTCAATGAGATCAGCTCATATAGAATATCACTTTAGGCCATGCATAACTTAATTCAACCAAAATTATTCCTTGTTGCACCCGCAAGACCATTGTGAGCTCATTTGGTTCAAGTGGACCAAATTGAAATAAGTCCAATCTAAATTTAAAATCAAATCAACCAAATGTCTTTTAAAATCCAATTATAGTTGGTACAAAATTGATCACTGCTAAGCCCCCATCGAGCCAATTGTGTGACAGATCTGGCCCAATTGAATCCAATTCAACTTAGGCTCCAACCTAATCCAACTAAATCCTCCCAATCACCTTCTTAGGTGAATTCACATTCAATTAAACTCAAAGCAACCCTAGTTAGTGGTTGTTGTGCACCAATTGACCCACATTGGGCATGGAGCTAATATGGATCCAATTGGGCCCAATAAGTCATTTTGGAAAAATCCTAAATCAAATTTATTTAAATTGACTAAAAAACCCCAAGTTTATTCCATGGCCTTTAGACCCTTTCAGTTAAGCTCAATTGGGCTTGACATAGTTTGGACCAAATTAGCCATTTTTCTCAAATTTGAGTCAATTCCAAGTCCAGTTGAACTCGAAGCCTCCTGATCATATGGAGAGTATGCTCAACCCTATATCTTTGCCATTGGACCCTTCAAATGGGTCCAACCAGGCTTGACCTAATTTAAACCCAAATGGCTCTATTTAAACCATTTCAATGTAAACCTCAATCCATGCTAGATTGTTTGAGCTAAAGTCCAAATTAGGACACCCTGGATCTGTCAGACCCAATCTTGCCACCTAGAGTAGTCGGAGTGCACATAACCCACCAATATGCACCTGATTCCGATATCTATATTTCCATTGTATTATCTACATGAGTATTAGTGCATTCCGAATATCATCAACTGTAATTTCTTCATTTTGCTTCTTCTTTTCCCTATAGGAAAATAGGGTTTTGATAGTGGCCTAAAATTTTCAAATTTAGTCTAAAAAAATATTTTCCACCAGATTTCCTACGGCTTACCATTTGCATAAAAGGCATGCGCTGGACATATATTCGTGCACTCTGAAATACTGCCGGAAAATTTGTTCACTCCACTATCGGTGGCTTAGGCCTGTATGTTTTCCGCTAAGCTTTTTGATAGGTTATATTTTACATCATTGCTATTGACATGCACATGCTTTCCTTCTAATATCCATGTAGTGAATATCATTCCAGATTCAGAGTAATTCTTAAACTAAATTTTATCTGAAGTTGGAGTTGTTGATTATCAGATGTATCTTTCATTTATGTGTTTTTGAATTTTATGCACAATGCCTTTTTGTTATCATATTAAGTTTCTCAATTTGTTTTATCTTTCATCAGTAAAGATGAAATGCGCTCAGTTTTCATTAAAAATTTATCTAAATGCATAATATACCGGCTTCCTATTAATTCATAAAATTTTAATTGTTATTTATTACTACATTTGAACCATTGCCATCGCTTAGCTTACAGGTGTTCTTGAAAAAGTTGGAGTTGAGCCACAGATTCAGCGAATAGGCAAATATAAAAGTGCTGGTGATCAGTTGGCACGAAAAAGCATGTCAAAAGAAAATTGTGAAATGCTGACATCGCTGCTTGATGATATATATGGAAATTGGCTAGAAACAATTTCATCAACTCAAGGTTTTCACTCTTTTGGAAGTATTGATAAAATTTAGGAAGATTTATTTGCATACCACTCAATTCTCATGTATTTACATTTCTAACATCTAAACTTTAATTTTTACATATATATGCTACCTTACCTATGCATGATAACACAGTTTTCACTTTTTAAAAGTTAAAATAGTGATATTTTTGATGTGATATGAAAGCTTTGGGTGGTATGAATGTAAAAAACAGAGTTTACGTGTTAGATATGTAAATACCTAGGTATTGGATGGTATGTATGTAAATGACCATAAATTTTGATATTCCATACTCTGCTTCCTTTTTACCTTTGTTCATAAACTTTTTGTCAGGAAAGAAGATTGAGGAGGTTGAGGAATTTATCAATTCAGGTGTTTATCAAGTTGAAAGGCTTAAAGAAAATGGATGGATAACAAATACTCTATATGAAGATGAGGTGCAATACAATGGCTGTGTAATTAAATAGGTTACAATGCTCATGGAAAATGATATTGATATGAGTTATCCTATCAATACTTAGCTAATGCTTCTTTGGAATTATCATTACATTTGATGGCTTGTCAGAATTAGGCAGTAAAATCCTACTTTTTGGATGAGGTTTATAAACTATTACTATATTAAAGTTTAATATTCATTGACATGGAAACAATTTCTTGATTGTGTCGTCCTAGAATATTTTAGTTAGGTGTTGATTGTTGGAGTAGTATATTTGTAGTAACTAGGAAGTGATAGAAACCATCTACCACCATAAGAAAAACAACCAGTAAACTCTGGTTTGGCTATTTGAAACTGAATGATTTGCGCCTTGAAGCTATATGAAGTTTGATATGTAAATGTATGACAATTAAAACATTATTAAACAATGAAATTAGTTTCCAACTGTAGAACATCAAAGAAACTGTTTAAGTGTTAATTCTTTCACTTGTAGAAATTGCAAAACATGTGCAATCCATCATGGCAGTACTTGGCATGCTCCTGTCAGCACTTGTTATATTATTTTTTTTATGTTATCTTTGCACCTATCTTGTTTTGCATTTGTATTTACTTAGTCACGCCATCGATTACCACTTCAAACATCAAAGGTGATCTCTTGATACTAATATTGTTTGTTCTCTTGTATTCCTTGCTTTTTTATACATTCAAATGTCTGTTTGTTGCAGTGACGGACATCCCATCATGCTCTAGGAAAATATATTAATCAGAGAATAAAAAATATGGTTGAGAAAGTTTTTTTTTGCATATAACTATGATAGAGAAATGAGGGCTGTAAGATCTATCGTCCATTAAAAGTAAAGCAACTCAAAATTCGATCAAGCTATTTTGGTGGATCAATTGGATCGAGATATATTAAATTTTGATTGCAATATTGATATGCTCAATTTTGATTTGGCTCAATTTATTTTTTAGCCAGCTCGAATCGGTGATTCTTTGACTTAGAGCTGTTGATTTAAAGTGAAATTGTTATAAAATGTTGCCATGAGAATCATCTTATTGCTAGAAATTAATCATATGTTAGATATGAAGCTTAATCTCCTAAATCTTTTCAATATTCAAACTGGCTGCAGATCCTTTTTTTGTGGTGATAGTCGTTTTACAATAGGGAGAATCCCATATAATTCTTTCAAAACAATTTGAATATCCCCTCACTATTTTAGTCTCTATTTGTATACACATTTGCAAAATACATAATATTTGCTTCATGTGAGAAAGTATTCTCCTTGTTTTCTCAAATTTTTTCCTGCACATAAGCAATCAAGTGATTTTGTAACTGCCCTATTGATTTTGGCCCTCAAAAGGCTTCAACTCTAAAGTCATTTCTTATTCCCTTGTTAGGTTGGACTTCTTACTAAGCCGTAAGGACAATGTTACAAAGCAATCTACTTAAGTAGAATTGTGTCTAAAATGAAATGCTTGGAGCCTATTCATAAATGTTTGCTAAAGTAACCTGGGGATTTACTCAAACAAGTGATTCAAGGACTTGCGACCACATGTTACATAGCATAATTCCAAAATCAATAGAAAATAGGGGGTGAGCAGAATAAAAAGGTGCCAAATAAGGAATTCTCAAGCAATTATGGAATACTCTAGACATTGGTTAGCTGAATTCTAAAGCAAAAAATCCAAGAAACCAAAATAAGTGTTGCAACAAATTTCAATAATTTCAATTATCCAATCCATATTGAAAGTTCATACACATGAGCCTATTTATAAAAAAAATTAATAATTAATGACAAGACATCACATCTTTATTACATTTCAAACTAATTTAATGTCAAAATAATAAAAAATCATTCGTAAATGATAATCTGCCATAAAAAATTGTGTAAATAGGTTCATTTTAACTTATTTTTTACCTGGTTTTCTTCCTTAGATTCAGTCCCTGAGAGACTGAGTGTGTTTGATTTAATTGGCTAATGTTACTGCATCTTTACCCCAAGGGCATTAAGGACTTTTTTTTGGAGAGTAAAGTAGTGGAATCTCTCTGGAAGTTTGCTGGACTAGTAGTGCATTCCATTGGAAGAGTCTTTGATTACCTTAAATGTAGATGCTAGAATTATACGTACTCCATTGTGGCTTTTCTAGGTGCTCGTAGTTGAAGTGTTGTTGGTAGATGTAGAAGTTTTGCGTGACACACATATACTCTATGTTAACAATAACAACAACAAATATTTGTGGCTTCAAGTTGTCTCAACTTGAAAATATACTCGCATCGTTTATATGAGTACAAATGCTCATGTTTGATATCATCCGTCATATCAAAAGTTGTGTTTGTGCAGGGGAGTTGGAGGCACCATTGGTTTATGAAGTAGACAAGTGAATGAAATGTTTGCAAGATGCCGTATGTGAAGAGTATCCGATTAATCAAGTATGCAGTGTTTTAGTTGTAAGAAATGCAAACAGATAAGATAAACAAACAACTTACTATTTATGTGTGCCTAAACCACTGTCGATTTAGAGTTCCATTACAGAGTTTTTTTTTTTGCTCCACTGGCCAATGAAGAAATCATCTTAAAGACACTTTACTATATGAGTAATTGCAACTAGTAATTTGCAGTCAATGCAACTCCTAAAGTCAATATAGTCTTATGTGAGCACTGTAAACCCCCTCCCAGCTTTATTGAATATTTATTTGAATGGTTTTGGGTTGATATTTTTGAAGGTTGTTTGGATGAAGATAAGAAATTATCGAGATATTTCACTCTATAACTAAGACTTCATGACTCTTATAGTTAATTCCCTTCTTGATCATGAAATAATATTTTTAATTAAAGTTACTCAACAAGTTTTTATTTTTAGTTTTAATATTAATGATTCGGTTAAGATAATACAACTTTGTTAGCCTAGAGTGGATTATTGGGAAATGATGAAATGTCCGATCAAGATTCAATAATTTCATCATCTAGTGTTGCTATGAATCCTTATCTACTTGGTGGAGGCGGTCGATCAACGCTATTAAAGGATTCTTATCAACAATATATGTTGTATTTTTCAAAGGGGTTTTATTGATTTGGAGTAAAAACATGATAATGCGGTCAATATTAAGTGGACCTCAAGTAATAAAGGATTTCATGCGCTATTAAGTGTGCTTTATGGCTTCTTATTCAAAATTAACTATTTAAAATCATTCATGTTTTTGACATAGTAGTAATATTTTGGGATGATCATAATTTAGCTATTTGCTCGACAAGACCCACATTCTCATCGATGTTGATTGTGGTCATATGAATGCACTTGATATGCTATTTCTTCTCTATGGGGTTTGATCAAAATTAAATTCCATTATTGGTAAACTTGTGTTGAGAATGAATGGGTGGATGAAATAATAGATAAAACACTTTCGAAAGATTTTGTTATCATTTTATGAGTTTTCCCATAGGCCAAACGCCTATGTTTAATTATCCTCCTAATAATGGGATGAGTCTTTCGATCAAAGCTAGTCATGAAAGAGCTGACCACTCAGCGTGTAGTAGCAACAATTAGGGCTTTAAATCATGAAAATCATCACTGTGAACTTAAAAGGAATGTTGTGGGATGATGACAAACTCGATTGATCAAGTTCCCATTCCCATTGTCTGCTGTCATGGGTTGGCTTTATCCTTGGTCCATTTTATTAGTAAAGGTGGCTGACCCAATGTAACAGGAGAATCCTTATCAACAACCATATGTTAATTTGTCCAAGGGGATATTATAAATATGTGGCTGTATGTTTGTTTAAGGAGATTAATTTGAGTCAACCTTAGCAGACAAATGATTTTTTGCCATATCAGGTATATCTCACAAATCATTGCTTAAATAAACATAGTCATTGGAGAACATACAAATAACAACCATGATGGTATTACAAAAGAGTTTCTTTGGCCAACCTATAAATAATCTCTGATTATAATTACTTTCTTGTGGAGCAGATCAACTAAAAACACCAGGATAGAGAAGTCATATTTTTAATAGCATGAGATTATTTTAAGAATGCCTATAATGATATACTTGATGATATTTGCTTTTTATGAGCTCAGGTTTAACATAAATTTTATGCTCGACAAACAATTACGGAGGGTGGATAAGGTTGACTCTTGGCTTTTAGTGATGTATATCATTGAATATTTTTAAATTCTTTGTACTTTGAAAACTTAAGTTTATAACTAAACCCCTCCGATTGATATTTATATTCAACAAGACCATCATTGCAGATATTTTAATAGCTTTGAACATTTTCGACCATGTTTTGCGAACATATCTCTGGATTCATAAATTATATTAGTTTAGTTTACTCAAATAGACGTAGAAGCTTGCTTTTAGATATATACCAATTCGGTTGAGATTCATAATCAACACGATGATCGTTGGAGGTAGTTGAATAGGTTTTGAACCCTAACGATTTTCTCTCGCTTACAAAAGATGTTATTTGACTTTACTTAAATTGGCTCCGTATCTTAATTTTAGATATAAACATCTACGATTGAGATTCATAATCAACATAATCCTCATCAAAATGATTGTTTGAGGGTTTTGTATTTATCATTTACATGAAAGTTATTACTTAAACATCATTAAAGCATCCATCCTATTGATCTAGCCTTTTTTTAGGAGAAGCATTCTACTAACTAGGTACAAGCTCAGTCTTGTCAATTTTGGATCTTATAAGGAGGAAGATTAGTTAGTGAGATTATGACGCTGCCCTATAGTCATAACGGCTCGCCAGATTGTGTGATTATCAAATTTGAGTTTTGGATTTTTTTATAAACAATTTTAAAATTTTAAGATAATTTTATATTTTAAAATCATCTGCACGCCTTTTGATGTGAGACAAAATAAATTAATTTTGTTTTTTCTATTCTGTGTAAGTTCTCGGACCATATGATCAAGCACTCAAATGATGGTCCGAGCCCATGTGGGCAATCGAATTTCAAGAGTTTAGGTATATTTTTAGAGAATTCA